GCTGGAGATCAGGGCCAGCTTCCCTGCCAGAGCGTAGCGGGGAGGAAGAAGCCCACAGATCAGAACCGGCGTCCACTCCAGCATGGAGAGAGAGAGAGTCAGAGCTGATCACGCCTCCGTCGGAGAGTGGAGAGGCGGAGCGGAGGTCAGTTCCAGCCAGCCCCTCCGAAGGAGGAAGCAGTGACAGGAGCAGTGTAGCCGTTAGGAGGAAAGTGGCCGGCTGGGCGCGCGCGTCAAGTTCAAATGTGCAGGCGCGCGGGTCAGCAGAAAATCCGGATTGGGAGCCAGGTCCCAAAGCCCGCCGGAGACAGGGGGAGGAGTCAGAGGAATCCGCCTCCGAAGAGTCCAGGAGGGGTGGAACCCCAGGGGGCAGGAGGACCCAGAGGAGAAAAGGGCAGAGGAAGAGGTGGAGCAAAGCTCGGGTGTTAAACTGGTGTAGGGGAGGGGAAGAGTCAGACGGAGCTTCGACGGTCTAGAGTTACAGACGTAGGGATGCGCGCCACGGATGTAAAACCAACAATGAACTTCAATAAAGACTTTTGTATATAAAGAGACACTGGCGTTGGTCCTTTGTGAGCTGGGACCTGAGGCACCCCTGACACATGCGCTGCTCTCGTTTGCCAGAAGCGGCTTAGTCATGCTGGCCACATGACCTGGAAGCTGTCTGCAAACAAACGCCGGCTCCCTCGGCCTTTAAAGCAAGATGAGCACACAACCCCAGAGTCGTCCATGACTGGACCTGCCAGGGGTACCTTTACCTTTACTAGAAACCTAATGCAGGGATGTTTTGACTTTTCAAGTCTGGCAATGGGCCATGAGGAGTTTGGGGAAGTGGAGGTCCTCATCTTTGGAGGGGGTTTGAAACATGTCTTTAAAAATCACATGGAGTTCGGTGTGGACTATGGAAAAGGGGCTGATCTGTCGAGAAGGGACAAAAATATTGTTAAGTTGGAGTTTCCACGAGTGAAAGGAGCAGGAGACAAAGTAAGGTACAGGTATAAACATGAATAATAATAATAATAATAATAATAATAATAATAATAATAATATCTTTATTGTCATTGCCCCCTCTCGGGGACAACGAGATTTGCGAAAGGGACATGGAAGAGACTTAAGGGCCTCGGACATAAGATTGCCAGGTTAATGGACTAGATGGATGGGAAAGAAAGGACTGACTAATCCCGGGACCAGGAGGAAGAGACGTTGGATGAAGATTGGGAAAAAATTATTTAGGACTGTTCTGAAAAATTAATGAATATTAAGAAAATGTTAGAATGAAATTATTTGGCTCTAGCAGAAATGTTAAAAAGAGCTTTGCAAGAATATGTTAAGGTTAGGAGAAATTGGCATAAATAAGATTTAAGTTTTAAATTTCAGGTTGTTGTTTTTTTTATGTAATATAGGTCAAAAATAGATTAAAGTAATTTAATGACAGGATATTATGGAAAATGGAAAGGATTTGCTGTTATAATTAATAATTAGAATACAAAAAAGGGAGGTGTGAGGAGGTCGATGAAATAAGGCTATGACAGTTAAGGATTTGAGAATATTGGAACTGTTTTTAAAATTTTTGTGGTTTATTCTTTTGTGATTTTGATGTGTTATGTGTTTTCTTTTTGCTTTTGATTTCTATTGATTAGTATTGTTTGATTGCCATTTGTCTTTCTATTGTCTTTATTCCCCCCTTTTCTTTTTCTTTCTTCTCTCTCCTTTTTTGTAATTTTAAAATTTCTTAATAAATATCATTTTAAAAAAATAAAATAGAAACCTAATGGGAGAGCAGGATCTGTTGTTATGTGAATGCGCTGAACCTTTGCATTATATGCTCAGCTTGCATATACCGGTATGTGTAAAGAAGCAAACAAACCACACAAACAATCCCAATTAGCCTCATTCAAAGGAAACCAACCCAGGGTATGCTGTGGAACTCCTTAAATCTCAGTGTTCAGATTGCATTGTGCATGAGCATGACACTATATATCAATCACTTCATGCTATAATCCTCTAGATGGCGACCAATGCAACAGAAAACAAGAAAAATTAAAAACACATCCAGGCTCACTTCCAGACAACTTGGGATGCTCCCACATTCCTTACTGCAAGCAGTCTATTATTATTATTATTATTATTATTATTATTATTATTTGGCACCAGAGCATCAAATCCACTTAAGTGTGCAGATTCTGAACTAGTTGGCATCCCTCCCACCAAAAAAAACACAAAAGAAAAAAAAAAGCAGGCATATGGAAGTGGTCCAAGATACAAACAAACCACAATGATAAACCAGGCAACAACAATGACAGAAACAATTGGCAGCTCTGGCACAATACAGTGGTTCCTTGGTTCTCGAACGTAATCTGTTCCAGAAGTCCGTTTGACTTCCAAAACATTCAAAAACCAAGGTGTGGCTTCCGATTAGCGCAGGTGCCCCTGAAACAATAGCCGACAACCACATCGGATGTTCGGCTTCTGAAAATTTTTTGTAAACCGGAATACTTACTTCCAGGTTTGTGGTGTTCGGAAGCCAATTTGTTTGTCAACTAAGCCGTTCGAGAACCAAGGTTCCGCTGTGTTGCAAAAGGACCAAAAAACAAAACAGAACATGCATGCTTTGCATGAGAAAGGCCTGAAATTCAGTCCCTGGGATGTCCAGACAGGGCTCCTCTGGAAGTCCTGGAAAGCCGCTCTCAGTCAGTGAAGACACACCTGAGTCAGGTGGACCAGTGACCCGACTCTGCATAAGGCTGCTTCCATATATTCCTGTATATGAAGCCCTGGCTCACTTGGAGGACATGCAGAAATGTTCGTTCCTCCACCTCACTCTGGTTGCTCTAGCGTGGTTGGGAAAACTGTGGCCCTCCAGATGTTGCTGGTCTGCAGCTCCCATCAATCCTGATCATTGTCCCTGCTGGCTGAAGCTGCGGGATCTGGAGTCGAGCAAGATCTGCAGGGCCACAGATCTTGCGATAGAAAAAAAGAATAACATCTTCAACATGCCCCTGCCTTATCCATGCTTCATATATTACGGAGGCAGCATGGGACTGGATCACACAGATGGTCTTGTATTGAACAAATTTCCCCATAGCCACTACAGACCAGGAATTCCATGCAGGCAAGTCAGTGGGAAGATGAAGGAGGGGCAGATCTCTCCAATCTTATTCCACCTGCCCGCTTGGTTTCAGTGCTGGCTACAAAGGAAGAGAAAAACACCCCTCCTGTTCTGCCCTTTCACCAGCCTATCTGGGATGAGCCCCCCCCCTTTAAAGAGCAGTAACTTTGGGTTAAACCACAGAGCCTAGCGCTTGCTGATCAGAAGGTCAGCGGGTCGAATCCCCGCGTCGGGGTGAACTCCCGTTGCTTGGTCCCTGCTCCTGCCAACCTAGCAGTTCGAAAGCACATCAAAGTGCAAGTAGATAAATAGGTACCACTCCGGCAGGAAGGTAAACGGCATTTCCGTGTGCTGCTCTGGTTCGCCAGAAGCGGCTTCGTCATGCTGGCCACATGACCCGGAAGCTGTACGCCGGCTTCCTCGGCCAATAAAGCGAGATGAGCACTGCAACCCAGAGTCAGCCACAACTGGACCTAATGGTCAGGAGTCCCTTTACCTTTACCTAACTTTTGTGGCCTGATCACAAAGGAGTGGTCCCCACTTCACTAACATGGCTGTTGGGCCACAGACCACCTCATTTTCTCCCCCATTTTCTGTTCATATTGTGGATATTTCACCCCTCCCGTTGTGAGAACCTCATGATGTTTTCAGAAAGGAGGGGGCGGAAACTGCTCATCGCTTCTTCCACTCCAGCCTGACTCTGTGGGAGTCTGAGTGTTATCTGTGTAGAGATAAGATGGCTGCATAAGAAACTGTAACACTCATGCAGTCCAGAAGCCTCCGTTAGTCTTTAGTTTTTAGTTTATTTTGGTTTGCAGTAGCTGTAATAGAATAAAGAAGTTACGCTTCAGAGCCATTGTTCGTGTGATTCATTCTCTGCTGTGCTCTGCTGACTTTGGTGCTCACAGCTCAAAGTTGCATGTCGAGGTCCCCAAGCCACCCCAAATGACTCACACATCACACGTAATTTTTGTTTAAGGTTTTTGGCATAATTTTGACCACAACTTAATTAAAATACAAAAAATGTGAGTGGTTGCTTAGGCATTGGTTGCGACTATCTGCCCCCAGTGGGGACAGACTGACATTTCGCAAGCTTGCGAAAGGCAGAAAAGGGGAATACATTTTGGGGATAGCGACAGAGCAGGGAACCTGCCCTCAGCCCTCCCCAAATGGAACCAGGGGCTCTTGCGTGGCCCTAGCCCCTTGACAGGGTTCGGACAAAAGCAATGGTGAGCCCCTATATTCCTTTAATGGAATACCCTTGCAGCAGCAGCATTAGAGGGGCAGGCACAGCCAAGCCATGCTCCTCCACCAACCAATTTTTTAACCAATGCCTAACCGCAACCTTACAAGTTGTAACGATTTGCTACGCAGTAGGCAAAAACCAAATGGCACCAGCCAATCAGCCACATGGACAAAATTCCTACCGGGCCCCTGCCCCAAGAGCAGACGACCCCATGACAGGCATAGCAAGGTCAAAGCGAACAACCCTAACTATAGGGAGGGAGAGACGGGCAATCCGATGCACGGGCGAAAAGAGGAAGCTCTACGCCTTGTGCAGGGAGTTTTAACATTTCTGGCTGTCAGTCACAAAATGGCAACATTAACTTCTTCCCAACAACAAGGGAAGCCCAATCACAACAGGGGCCAATGACCAATTAGCCCGCCCCACAACTTTGGAGTGTCTTGTTGGCCCCCACCGCAACACGTGCTCTCCATGAAGGAGAACATGCTTTGTGAGTCCGTTGCACTTAGACCTGCTCTCCAGCAGTGGAAGGTCCCTGGAAGTGCTTCCCAGCTCGTGTGGCCCAGTCGGGGCAGAAGAGGTTGAGCCCAGTCGTTGGCACCGGCTCAAAGGCGAAGCTGATACATATTACTTGCCAGGATTTACATACCTCTGCGTTTCCGGCTGGAACAATAACCCGTGAGAGCAAAGTTCACCACAGACTTAGAGGAATCAATCAGGACGGTGACTTTATCTTTCAGGTATTCGTCTTTAGCTCCAGCATCAGTAAAGATGAAGATCTCAGACCTGGAGAAGATGAAAAGGGATCTTATGGAAGAGGGTTGAACAAGCTGACAGTATGCTGTACAGGGAGGCGAGCAATTTGTGGTATAAGCCGCCTCATACAACCAACATGCTGAAGTCTAATAAATGTATGAAGGGGTTAAGACCATAGTGTAAGCTGCCCTGCCAGGCTTACCTGGGCCATTCCTCCTAACCTTGGGAGAAACGGTTATCAAGCCTTGGTTCTTCCCATGCCACCATGTGAATACTACCAGTAAGGAGGCCTAAGCTGGATGCTTCAAGCTGGACTACTGTAATGCGCTCTACGTGGGGCTACCTTTGAAGGTGACCCAGAAACTACAACTAATCCAGAATGTGGCAGCTAGACTGGTGACTGGGAGTGGCCACTGAGACCATATAACACCGGTTCTGAAAGACCTACATTGGCTCCCAGTACGTTTCCGAGCACAATTCAAAGCGTTGGTGCTGACCTTTAAAGCCCTAAATGGCCTTGGTTCAGTATACCTGAAGGAGCATCTCCACCCCCATTGTTCAGCCACTGAGGTCCAGTTCCGAGGGCCTTCTGGCGGTTCCCTCCCTGCGAGAAGTGAGGTTACAGGGAACCAGGCAGAGGGCCTTCTTGGTAGTGGCGCCCTGTGGAACGCCCTTCCATCAGATGTCAATAATATTCTGTTGGGAGCCACCCAGAGTGTGGGCGGGGTATAAATAATACCATTATTATTATTATTATACCATATGGCTTAATCAAGACATCAGTGTTTCTTTGGAAAGAAAGAAAGAAAGAAAGAAAGAAAGAAAGAAAGAAAGAAAGAAAGAAAGAAAGAAAGAAATCCAAGGCATGAGGGATTTAAGAGAGCACCAGTTCTCAAGCCAAGGTGGTAGTAGGACTGGAGGAACAAGGGTAACAAGAAGATTTGTTTCAGGAATAAGGGAAGGAAGGGCAGACCGTGGCAGGCTGTGCTCCAAAGCCAACTTCAGACCGCTTAGTGCCAACTCTGGGCAGTCACCCCCGCCATCAGCTTTGAGCTTAGAGATGAAGGACTTAAACTCATCCACATCATGAGTCTCTTGGACTGGGCCAACACCTGCAGGGATACACAAATGAGAGTGACAGAGTTGTGAAGACATGAACCAAACGCTGCAGATACAGACATACCCCAAGCCAGGGGTAGCCAATATTACACCCTCCACGTTGGACTACAATTCCCACCAGCCCTGACCATTTGCTGTGCTGGCTAGGACTGATGGGAGTTGTAGTCTAAAAATATCTGGAGAGCACCAAGTTGGCTATCCCTGCTCTCTAGTATTTTATTTATTCAGTTCACTTTCTATCGTCCCCCTTTCTGGGGGCATGGGGCCAATAACACTTTTAAACAAAACAAAATACAGTGGACGCTCGGGTTGTGAACGTGATCCGTGCGGGATGCACGTTCGCAACCCAAAGCGTTTGCAACCTGTGTCTGTGCACGCGCAGGTTGCGATTCAGTGCATCTGTGCATGCGCAAAGTGTGAATCAGGGCTTCTGCGCATGCACGACCACCAAAACCCAGAAGTAACCCGTTCCGGTACTTTCGGGTTTCGGTGGACCGTAACCCAAAAAAATGCAAACTGAAGCGGCTGTAACCCGAGGTATGACTGTATACATTTAAAATACCTGTCACAATTATGGTGCAATTCAGGGGCATATTAGTAGTGCTGCACCCCCTTCTATCTATGAGCAGTGATAGAAGCAAAAGCTGAAAGGAAGAAGCTTCTACTTCAGTTGTCATGGAAAGCCTCAATGTATTCAGGAAGTCTGCACTGGACAGCCTGGGGTTGGAGCTTATTATTATTATTATTATTATTATTATTATTATTATTATTATTATTATTAAAACCGTGCCACAAAACAATTCTGAGAAACAGGAGGGCAACACAGAAAACGTTTGATTACAGGGTAACTTCACATTTGATCTGTACTGCTTTGTACCACTTTTGATTGCTGTCTTTCGATGTCATGGTTGTTTTTAGAACACTTCTCATTGTTCCGTTCGCAAGCTGTCCTGAATTTTTTATTTATTTATATAAGGACAGCATATCAATTATTCAAATTTATCATTCCCTGGGTTCCTTCAAGACGACGTTTGGGATATAAATGCAGCCGCCGCCACCAGCTATGACCCTCCCCTTCTCGTTGCACTCCAACTCCCATCAGCACCCCAGCAGCCAGGGGCCAGTGGTGAGGGATGATGGGAATTGTAGTCTCTGATAAAACCTGGAGGGTCACAGTTCCTGTGGGCCATCACACACTGTTTGGATTCACTGTGAAGAGTGAGCAAAAAGGATGGCAATTCCAGATCAAGCATAGCTGTCAACCGTCCCTTATTTGGCGGGAAAGTCCCTTATCCCAGCGCTGTGTCCGCTGCTGTCCCTTATTGATGATGTCCCTTAAATTTCCCGGGTTTCAAAGGAAGCAGCTCCTCTCCCTCCCTCCCTACCGGCCAGGGAGGAGGGAGGCTCCAACTGTGTTGCTTGGCTGCGTTGCTCACCCAATAAGGAGTCTAAGAATTACTGGGGGTGTGGAGCTTGCATGCCTTGTGCCTGGGGACTCGCCTTTGCTCAGCGCTTCCCAGCGGAGAGGTGACAGTGGTTTTCCTTGCTGCATCCCCTTTGCCGGGTTGCTGCGCTGTGGGAACCACCGCTTGAGGCTTTGTTTGGCTGCTGGCTGGGCTTTCTGCCTTTGGCTCGGAGGGGCTCAGAAGTTGAACATACCTGTGCTCTGAAAATCTCTTATTTTAACTGCTGATCCCTTATTTTGAGGCTGCTGGTCCCTTTTTTTCAAATCTGTAAGCTGATAGCTATGAAACCAAGTGGACTCATTTGGGAGAAATAAACTCTTTTGCTTTGCATCCTCACCTGGATCATTGAATGGAACAAGAATGTAGTTAAAGGGTGCGTCTGGGGAGCTGGAATACTTTCGGATGAGCTCAATGCAGGTGGTTTGGGCCTGTTTTATGTCATCTGACATGCTGCCAGTTGTGTCTATTACAAAGGTGAGTGAATAGCCTTCCAGGCTGAAAAACTTCTTAAAGGTATCGCTGCCCACCTTGTCCAGGAGGCCGTACCCTAGTGAAATGCAGAGTGAAAACAGGTTATGTCTAGAGCTGGTTTTCAACATCGTGATATATCGCCAGCAAAATATCTGAAATAAGGATGGAGCTATGTTAGAGGCATTGGCTATTTTTTGCATAGCGCGCACACACAAACACAAACACCAGCGCGGTCCTGGTGGGGTGCCATCGCGGCTGCCCCCCCCACGCTGGGTGCCACGTCCCTGTGGGTGGCATGCCACGCCCCAGGATGCGCGCCGGCCACGCCCTGCCTGCTCTCCGCTCCCTGGTGCTGGAACATGAAGCTCTGCCACTGAATGTGGGTGCCCCTATGGTTTTGACTATGGGCTTACCATCTCCTACAAAGAAGTCCCTTGTGGCTTGTATGGCTAGTTCGGCTGCTTGTTGATGCAACTGATGATGTGGGGAGAGGCGGGGGTCATTTGTCTCCTTGTTGATCCCCCCCGTGGGAGAGAAATATTGCAGCGGATCGTTTCTTCCACCATGTCCACATTTGCCTACAAAGAGAATACAGGAAACAATAATAAGCTGGACTGGATCAGAGCAATGTTGCATCTACGTACGTCAGGCATATATATATTAATATTTTTTATAATATTTAATATTATTTTTATAATATTTAATATTATTTTATTGTATTATATTAAGTTTATACATATACAGTGGTACCTTGGGTTACATACGCTACAGGTTACATACGCGCTAACCCAGAAATAGTATTTCGGGTTAAGAACTTTGCTTCAGGATGAGAACAGAAATCGTGCTCTGGCGGCGCGGCAGCAGCAGGAGGCCCCATTAGCTAAAGTGGTGCTTCAGGTTAAGAACAGTTTCAGGTTAAGAACGGACCTCCGGAACGAATTAAGTTCTTAACCCGAGGTACCACTGTGTGTGTGTGTGTGTGTGTGTGTATAATTATAATACAATAAAAACAAATCCGCAATAAATCTTTAAAATCCAAACAAATATAAAATGCAAATATAAGACCACTAAAATATGTCTCTGTATGTTGATACTATTAATGGATAATGAATTAATGAATTTTAATCTGTTTTTTATTATCAGTTCAGGTAGGAAGCCATGTTGGTCTGATGCAGACAAAATAAATAAAAAAAATAAAAAGTTGTCCAGTAGCACCTTAGAAGCCAACTAAGTTTGTTCTGGGTATTGTGCATGCACACTTCTTCAGATACCAAAGAAGTGTGCATGCACATGAAAGCTTATACCCAGAACAAACTTGGTCTCTAAGGTGCTACTGGACAATTTTTTTAAAAAATATATTATCAAGTTTCGGTAAATTTGTGGCTCTTCTTAGAAATGAACCCCCCCCCAACATAATAAAATACAACATAAATCACAACTATAACCCCTCTCCCAACCACCATATCACGGGGGCTAAAGTAATCTGGAATTTGCCTGTCTGGTTTCCAGCACAGTACTAGAGCTAGCGTGTTAAAGTAAAGCAAAAAAGGGGGACAACTGGCAACAAAACAAAATAAACTCCAGCAATGATCTCTGGCCTTACCTTTGGGTTTTGACGTGCACTGTCCTGCTTTGTACCCACTTGTGAGCAGGTCATTCACCACGATGTTTCCATCACATGAGAACTGGCCTCTGTTAAGCAATGTGGAAGTTGGTAAATGTATTGTTTTTTGATTACTGGTAATTTTCCCCCCCAAACCTCAGGCTTTTATATACATTATTTACACAATGAGTCCCATCTGATTGGCTGATTCTGCTTTCCTCCTAGAGCCTGATTGGTCTTCTCCTGCAGGCCTATCAGTTGTTGCATTCCACGAACCTACCAGCCTAATAGGCTGTTTAAATCCCTCCTGGAGCCTGATTGGTCTTCTCCTGCGAGCCAATCAGTTGTATCATTCTAGGATCCTACCTGCCTATTGTTCTAGGATCTAAGCTTAGTACATAGCAAAGCCCATGGAAGGAGGTGAGGGGAGAACATGAGACTTACCCTGGGAGCCTTTTGCAGTTGTCACAGGTCTTCTTAGAAGCAGGAGCAACAGGGAAAACAGGACTGGCTGGGTTTACTGTAGAACACACAGGAAGGGGGAAAGATGCTGTTTTAGCAGAGACATCACCTTGCCAACAAAGGTCCGTATAGTTAAAGCTATGGTTTTCCCAGTAGTGTTGTATAGAAGTTAGAGCTGGACCATAAAGAAGGCTGATCACCGAAGAATTGATGCTTTTGAATTATGGTGCTGGAGGAGACTCTTGAGAGTCCCATGGCCTGCAAGAAGATCAAACCTCTCCATTCTGAAGGAAATCAGCCCTGCGTCTTCACTGGAAGGACAGATCCTGAAGCTGAGGCTCCAATACTTTGGCCACCTCATGAGAAGAGAAGACTCCCTGGAAAAGACCCTGATGTTGGGAAAGATGGAGGGCACAAGGAGAAGAGGACAACAGAGGACGAGATGGTTGGACAGTGTTCTTGAAGCTACCAGCATGAGTTTGACCAAACTGCGGGAGGCAGTGGAAGACAGAAGTGCCTGGCATGCTCTGGTCCAGGGGGTCACAAAGAGTCGGACACAACTAAACAACTGAACAACAACAATGAACTTCTCTTAAAGCTGTAATTCAGCAGCTCAGACAGATTTATCATGATTCTGTAAACTGATTTGAGACCACAAGTGGAAAAAGCAGGCTATATGTTTTTAAAATTTGCTCAGTAAAAAATGCAAAAGGTTCTTTGGATCCCTTTACTGATTCCCACTGACTAGTTGGAATGAATTTGTCTAACTCTGTAGGATGGTCAAACTGGGCAGGGTCAATCAACAGCATTAAGGATTGCAAAGACAGAGAGAGAGAGAGAGAGAGAGAGAGAGAGAGTAATTTTACCATGATTGGAATAATTTAATTTTTGGAAGGTTCAGTATTATCAGCTTCTTTTGAGCCTTCTAAATTGTCTTAGATTTAATCTAAGGTTACCAGATTTTTTTCAATGAATCTGGGGACACTTTTCAACTTCAATGGATTTTGTATAGGGACTGATTTGTAAATCCGGGGACTGTCCCCGGGAAACGGGGACGTCTGGTAACCTTAAATTTCAATCAACAGATTTTATGACGATTTCCATCTGAAATCAACATCCAGCTGATATCTTTGCATCGCCATTGGGACTTACACAGGTGTTCGTAAGGTTTGGTTTTTCCCAGCTCAACCCAGTTGGTGTTACTGTAGAATTTCTGGAGGATGTGAAGAGCTTTTCCAGCGCTTCGGCGAGCTGATTCCAAAGCTGACGAGCTCATGGGGACTTTCAGGCTGGCCAGCATAGAGTTCTGCAGGTTTCGAAGTTGGCTTATACCTGGCAATCAGAAGAATTTTAAGAGAGATTAAAATAAAAGATCAGAATTTGTTTATGTATGCCACAGCCACTGCAAGAATCCTACTGGCCCCAAAATGGAAAATACAAGATTTACCAACCATCCAGGAGTGGCAGGTGAAGATGACAGATTTTGCGGAACTTGCCAAATTGACAGGGAGGATCCGGGACCAAGAGGACCAGAGATGCAATAACAATTGGAGTAAATTTCGTTGTCCCCGAGAGGGGGGAATGACAATAAAGATATTATTATTATTATTATTATTATTATTATTATTATTATTATTAAATTTATTGAATATTTAAAGGAGAACAGCAAAAGCTTAAAGACACTAGCAGGACTGGAATAATACCTTCAATATAAAATAGTAGAGTTATGACAATAATATACGCAATAAGTATGTGACGTATATACCAGCTGCTGAGAGGGAGGGAAGTGAAGACTCGGCAGAGTCAAAAGGATTATACTGTGATAATAAGGATTGTTGGGAAAAGGATATATATATATATATATACACACACACACACACACAGTGGTGCCCCGCAAGACGAATGCCTCGCAAGACGAAAAACTCGCTAGACGAAAGGGTTTTTTGGTTTTGCGTTGCTTCGCTAGACGAATTTCCCTATGGGCTTGCTTCGCAAGACGAAAACGTCTTGCGCTTTTTTTTAAAAGCCTCTTGAAGAGGCGCAGTTGCGACGGACCGTGCTTCGCAAGACGAAAAACATCGCAAGACGAAAAGACTAGCGGAATGAATTCTTTTCGTCTTGCGAAGCAAGCCCATAGGGAAATTTGTCTAGCGAAGCAACGCAGAACCGAAAAACCCTTTCGTCTAGCGAGTTTTTCGTCTTGCGAGGCATTCGTCTTGTGGGGCACCTCTGTGTGTGTGTGTGTGTGTGTGTGTGTGTGTGTATATTATTCAAAAAAAAAAGAAAAATGCTTTAAATCAACATTAAATAAAAAGAAATAAAATAGAAGAATTTTAAAGCCCCAATTTCTCCTGTGTCCCCTGAAGTTGTATTCATTCAACTTGTTTTTATTATTGCTTGTTAGCCGCCCTGAGCCCGGCCTTGGCTGGGGAGGGCGGGATATAAATAAAAAATATTATTATTATTATTATTAAACCCGAGAAACACCAGATTCCCAACGGGATGCTGTTCCCTCTTCCTTGGAACCTCTTACTCCAGAGATGGTGACGTTGTGGCCTTCAAATGCTGCTGAGACTCCAATTTCCCTCACCTCTGAGCGCTGTCTGTTCTTGCAGGGGCCTGATGGGTGGTAGAGGCCAACAACCTTTGGCGGGCCACAGGATACCCCTCCCTGTTTGGATCCAAGATTGGAGGTATGCTTGGCTGTAGGCTTGGTGATTTGTCATTTCAACGGTTCTGGCATCTGGGTGGGTCAAGAGGCTTTAGGTTTTGGGGCAGGGTCTCCGTCGGTCAGTGGGAGCAGAACTACAGTGGTACCTCTAGATACGAACGGGATCCGTTCTGGAGCCCTGTTCACATCTAGAGGTAAACGTAACTAGCGATGGCGCGTCTGCGTGCACGTGCGCCGCTTTTCGCCGCTTCTGCGCATGTGCGTGACGTCATTTTTGAGCGTCTGCGCATGCGCAAGCGGAAAACCCCGGAAGTAACGCGCTCTGTTACTTCCGGGTTGCCGAGGAGCGCAACTCGAACGCGCTCAACTTGAAGCATATTTAACCCGAGGTATGACTGTAATCACAAAAGCTTCAGTCCCAGGGCTGGACTAAGGTCCTAGAGCAGTCCCAAGGCTGCCGTGTGACATTTTGCTACCGAGTTAGTATGCAAGATGGTTTCAAAACCCACCAGGCTGGCAGCTGAATTACAGTGGTACCTTGGGTTACAGACGCTTCAGGTTACAGACGCTTCAGGTTACAGACTCCGCTAACCCAGAAATAGTACCTTGGGTTAAGAACTTTACATCAGGATGAGAACAGAAATCGCACAGCGGCAGCAGGAGGCCCCATTAGCTAAAGAGGTACCTCAGGTTAAGACCGATTTCAGGTTAAGAATGGACCTCCAGAACAAATTAAGTTCTTAACCCAAGGTACCACTGTATTTCAAATCTGGTGAAGAAACCTCCTCTGCCACCTCACGGGCTTCCATGGCAGGCCTCGTGGCACATGCTTTGCACCCCAGCCCTCAGTAGCTGCTGCCCGAAGTGGCCGTCTTCTTCTGGGAACTGTAGCACTATGAGGGGAATATGGATCTCTTAACAACTCCCAGCAGCTGTAGCAAACTACAGTTCCCAGGATTCTTTGTGGGAGGGGGCAAGCCGTGACTGCGAAGATGGCATAATAGTGCTTTGGCTGTATGTTGTGGATAAGGCCCAACAGTTGGTGGAATCAGAACCAATGCCAGGTAGAACTATTCTCCCTGCTGACGGGACCTAACTCGAAGGGTTCAGCTGCCCGCTTTCATCGCCATTGGACACCACCCCGTTTGGCTTGCCTAACATTCATTGCACACTTTCTCTCTCTTTCCCACCTGCCTTTTCACTCCATTCCCTCCTTCTGGCCTGCCGCCAAACACAACCCCAAACACTTCCTGTCCTCGTCCATACAGCTTCCCTCTTTTTTCTCTGCCTCTTCTCCCGTCTTCTCCCCTAGCCCTCTGCAAAGAAACTCTGCTACTTTAAGCAGTGCTTTAATGGGTGTTGTGCATTACAGTGGTACCTTGGGCTACAGACGCTTCAGGTTACAGACGCTTCAGGTTACAGACTCCGCTAACCCAGAAATAGTACCTCGGGTTAAGAACTTTGCTTCACGATGAGAACAGAAATTGCGCAGCAGCGCTGCGGTGGTAGCGGGAGACCCCATTAGCTACAGTGGTACCTCAGGTTAAGAACAGTTTCAGGTTAAGAACGGACCTCCAGATCAAATTAAGTTCTTAACCAGAGGTACCACTGTATGTATTATTCGTATGGTACTGTAAGCTGCATTGCAATGCATTTAATGGGGGCCCATCTTCATTCTGGTCTGGTAAAGTCAGTTTAACTGTCACTGGGGGTCTTAACTGACAGACAAGGAGGGGCTGGAGATAGTACTCTCAGTATGCAAAAAGATGGAATAACTGCTTATTCTGATTGGTGGTTTCCAGATTTACAATCACCTCCTCTTTGTTGTCTAGATATGGTGATTCCTTTTATGATCAAGTCCTTGCCACAAAGGGACTGGGCAATCTGATCGTCAGCAAACGTAACAAAGCCGAAAGTTCTGAAGAGTTTCGGGATGAAGACACCAACCAATTCTCCACACGGGGAAGAAATGGACAGAGCTCATCTGCAGTCAGGTCTTTGGTGCGAAATGACCTTAATAGATTGGAGAACTGGGCCCAAGCTAACAAAATGAAGTCCAACAGGGACAAATGTAAGGTTCTGCGCTTAGGCAAGAAGAACCAGATGCACAAATATAAGATGTGGGACACCTGGCTTTTGTAAAGATCTAGGGGTCTTGGTGGACAACAAGCTTAATATGAGTCAACAGTGCGATTCAGCAGCAAACAAAAGCTAACGCTCTTCTAGGCTGCATCAACAGAAGTATAGTGTCCAGATCAAGGGAAGTAATAGTCCCACTCTATTCTGCCTTGGTCAGACCACACCTGGAATACTGTGTCCAATTCTGGGCACCACCATTTAAGAAGGATGTTAAATTGGAACTTGTGCAGAGGAGGGCAACTATGATGGTCAAGGGTCTGGAAATCTAGCCTTATGAGGAGCGGTTGAAGGAGCTGAGAATGTTTAGCCTGGAAAAGAGGAGACTCAACTCAAGGGCTGTCCCATGCAAGAGGGACAACACTTATTTTCTCCTGCTCTGGAGGGTAGGACTTGACAGTAAGCGCTGTTCAGCAGCGGAACAGTCTCCTTCAGGAGGCGGTGGGTCAGCTTGGGTAGGTGGGCAGGGTCACGCACCTGTCAATCATCTGCCAAAGTCTGGGGATGGGGAGACGGGTCTGCTTTGCCAGCGTGTTCCCTGCAGGAAACACATGGGAGAAGAAGGACCCAGAAGGATAGAAAGTCCTGCTCATTGGCAAAGGGTTAGAAACACATCACCCCAAACATCGCTCCGTGCACCTTCGCCCCACAAAAGCCACACCGCCTCTTACTTTGGACAATCTTTTCGCAGTAGAAGAAGTAGCTGTTGTCCTTCTTGTGGTCGGTTTCCACTTGATTGTTTGCGTCGACAAGTTCCTGCATGGCTTTGAGTAACCGACTGGGAGAGACGTCAGCTGTGCAAGAAAAAAGGGGAAGGTCCCATTACTTGGGAACCACACAAATCCGCACATGAAAATGCAGCTGCTTTTTGAAGTGGTCCTTTCCCCCCAGGCACTTACATGCGCAAGCAGAGGTGGATATGTTCTGCTCCCTGAACTGCATGTGGACCTCAGCCTAATGTGATGGGAATACCAAGGAATGGAGGGGATGCGGGTGGTGCTGTGGGTTAAACCACAGAGCCTAGGACTTGCCGATCAGAAGGTCGGCGGTTCGAATCCCCACGACGGGGTGAGCTCCCGTTGCTCGATCCCTGCTCCTGCCAACCTAGCAGTTCGAAAGCACGTCAAAGTGCAAGTAGATAAATAGGTACCACTCCAGCGGGAAGATAAACAGTGTTTCTGTGCGCTGCTCTGGTTTGCCAGAAGCGGCTTAGTCATGCTGGCCACATGACCCAGAAGCTGTACGCCGGCTCCCTCGGCCAATAAAGCGAGATGAGCGCTGCAACCCCAGAGTCAGTCACGACTGGACCTAATGGTCAGGGGTCCCTTAACCTTTACTTTTACCAAGGAATGGGGGGTGGGAAATAAGGGACAGGAGGTGGCAGAGATAAAGAAAAGGGGATGGCATGGAGAAAGAAAAACAGAAGGGTGAAAGGGGCGACACAGAGAGAACAAGAAGGGGAGAAACAGAGGAAACTGGGTGAGGGAAAAGATGAGCTTGGCAGCATGCAGACCAGACAGAGAAGATAATAAAGTGACCCCTGCTTTAAGGTTTGACAGTGGGAAAAAGGATAGGATGAGAAGGATGGGGACATTATAGGCACTCACACAGCCTTCTAGTAATAGTAATAGAAATAATTTCTTAACATATACCTTGCCCATCTGACAGGGTTTCCCCAGTCACTCTGGGAGGCTTTCAACAGAATGCAAAACAACAACAACAACAACAAAAAACCACAGTGAAACATTAGATACAGTGGTACCTCGGGTTACAGACATTTCAGGTTACAGACGCTTCAGGTTACAGACTCCGCTAACCCAGAAATAGTACCTCGGGTTAAGAACTTTACCTCAGGATGAGAACAGAAACCGCGCAGCGGCAGCGGGAGGCCCCATTAGCTACAGTGGTACCTCAGGTTAAGAACAGTTTTAGGTTAAGAACGGACCTCCAGAACGAATTAAGTTCTTAACCCGAGGTACCACTGTGTTAAAATCTTTATGATACATGGCTGCCTTCAGGTGTCTTCAGAAAGTTGTATAATTGTTCATCACCTTGACATCTGGCGGGAGGATAATAGGATAGATCCATATGCCCAAATCTCCCTTAAGATAAATGGGGTTTAGTGACTACTTAGGGGTGGGAAGCTGACAACCAGGATTTTTTTAGATCTCTAGGGTGGGTGGAGGGACACGGGTGGCGCTGTGGGTTAAACCACAGAGCCTAGGACTTGCCAATCAGAAGATCGGCAGTTCAAATCCCCGCGACGGGGTGAGCTCCCAGTGCTTGGTCCCTGCTCCTGCCAACCTAGCAGTTCGAAAGCACGTCAAAGTGCAAGTAGATAAATAGGTACCGCTCCGGCGGGAAGGTAAATGGCGTTTCCGTGCGCTGCTCTAGTTCGCCAGAAGTGGCTTAGTCATGCTGGCCACATGTCTCGGAAGCTGTGACTCCCTCGGCCAATAAAACGAGATGAGCGCCGCAACCCCAGAGTCGGACACGACTGGACCTAATGTTCAGGGTTCCCTTTACCTTTAGGGTGGGTGGGTGAGTAGGTTTTTAAGAATAAAGGCTCAGACTGGCATCCATGACTCCCAGGTCTGTTACCAGGGGCCAGGAGGTCTACTGCATTAAAGCAGTCCGCAAGGACTCCTGGGCTCTGTCAGCTGGCATAGACGGGAGCAATGAGACCAAGCATTTGTGGATCCAAGTCTCCTGGTTCTGCTGGGAAGCAAATGAGGTCAGATTCCTAGCAAGGCTGCGCAGGGTCAATCCTCTGCAAAAGATCTAGTTGCATCGGGCAAGGAGAAGTCTTCACACCCATGCCTTCTGAGCTTACCTTTATAGAAGGCCTTGAAGAGCCGAGTAGCATCCAAAGGCTTCATATTTTCCAGCTCTCCTGGGGCCACAGGTGTTTTCCCAGGCAACGGGTTCCTCTCCATGTAACGGGCGACAGCCTGCAGCACCCCTGCTGTCGTGATGTCAGCATCTGTGAAGACTGCCGGATCTATACCTCCCGATTCGTGGTTGGGGAAGAATCCGCTCACATTGTCCAGGCAGAAGAGCAGGGAGAGCAGCAACATCCTTTGAAGCTGGGTGGAGGGGGAGAGAAGGGAACACATCTTCTGCAGATGTTCTGCAGTGTGCTTCTCACCCAGCTTGTTAAATAGCTGAGCCTGCACCGAAACCTCTTATCTATTCAGTCTACTCCCTCCTACTTATTGGCAGATGGATAGGATTTCTGGGGAAAACCTGACTCCCAACTCCCATCTGGGGAAGGGCTCTAGGTCAATGGGTCTGGACCTCTGGGTCAAGCTTCTTATGCAACATATCTTAGGTTCCATCCCCAGCATGTCTAGATAAGGCTGGAAAACAACTCCAGCTGATGCCCTGGAAAACCCTTGCCAGTCTCTTCTGAGCCAGATGAGTCAATAAGGCAGCTTCCTGGGTTTATTGATCAACCACCGTTCACCACCAGATACAAAAGGGAGAGTTGCCACAATGATCCACAGTGAGAGCCAGTGTGGTGTAGTGGTTAAGAGCGGTAGACTCATAATCTGGGGAACCGGGTTTGCGTCTCCGCTCCTCCACATGCAGCTGCTGGGTGACCCTGGGCCAGTCACACTTCCTTGAAGTCTCTCAGCCCCACTCACCTCACAGAATGTTTGTTGTGGGGGAGGAAGGGAAAGGGGAATGTTAGCCACTTTGAGACTCCTTCGGGTAGTGATAAAGCGGGATATCAAATCCAAACTCCTCCTCCTCCCTTCCTTCCTCTTTCTTTCTTTCTTTCTTTCTTTCTTTCTTTTCCTATGAATAAATATAACAGGACTATCAAATGTCCTGTAAAATGTGCATTGTTTTTAAATTTATTTTTATGACTTTATTTGCATTGCTGTTCTTCTTACAGGTTAAACAATGGCAAGTAATTCTGGGTGCAATGCTGCTCTTACACTTGGTTTTTCGCCTACCTCGTAGCAAATCGTCACAACTTCTTCGGCATTGGCGGTTAGGCATTGGTAAGGGTATTGTTATGTAGATGAAGGGGGGGAGGAAGCGCCATCACCTCCCCCACAGGTCGAAGGGTAGTCCAGTAAAGGATTCCGGGGGGGGTGTGGCCCTGTCCGAAGCCTATGGAGGTGAGGACCTAAGGCACGCCCCCAAACGGTGACCCCGGCGGACTTCCTAGTTGATGTGCATCAGCAGGTCTCCCCTGATTGGTGTTAACCCTTCCTGGACTTCAAGCAATCAGGCTGAAGCCGGATAGTCGATAGGACCAATGCCTAAGCCAATACCGCACTTGCCTGTAACCAATAAAGTTGTGGCCATTTTTTGCCCATTAACCTAATTAACGGTGTCTTGTGTCTTTATTTCCATCAGGGGGAGGCGGGAACTTGCCATGCAATGTTTGCTGGTGCAAAGTTTGAAAGGATGAGACTTCACTTACGCCTTTGCAGAAAATATTCTTTCAGGCATATTTCAAGCTCTAAATCTACCCTCTGGGTTCTGCCCCTGGGGACAAACCACACATTAGGCTTAATGCCTCGTTTGCTGCTGTCCCTTTAACAAATTGCAGGCAAGGGGGAAATCCCAATTCCTGCGAACTGCAGCTCTGAATACCACCAGTCCCTTGTGCCTGTAGTTCTTTCATTTAGGAAAACAAACACGATTGCATAGCAGTGTGTGCCTTAATCAGAATGTGTAGCTTGGGCCCTGCTTAGTGTGAAACACCCTTCACCTCCAGATATTTTGGCCCGAAGAAGAGGCCAAATCCATGCAGGTCTTCAGCCAAGTCAGTTCTTCGGAAAAAGATGTTTACAGCAAAGTGAGTTCAAGATTAAGGTCATGTCCACACAGGAACGGGCAACTTTATCAGTTTCAGTTTCTTATTTTTCCAATCATAAGTTCAACTCTCCCCATTTCCACATCAGCATGTTATTATTATTATTTTTTAAGTCATCAGTATTGTAGTTTGGTTTTTCCTAATGTATGCCTTTTTGTATGTACTCTTACTTAATTTACACTTTTTTGCAAAGCCCCTTTCCCTGATATAAATCATTTTTGTCTGTTATTTTCATAAATTTATGCATTTCTAAGCACACTTTGCCCTAGTATATGTATTTTGGTAAACATTACATGGCCAGTAGCGTAGGTAGCCGGGGGCAGGGCGGGGAGGTGTTATGAGAAAAAAACTGCTCCTTTTCCCTTATGGGGGACACAAAAGCCATTATAGAGTCCTTTGTAGGTTCTCTATTGGTAGGAGAAAATAACAGAGACCAACCAGAGAATATTGAGAAGCAAAGCAGCTAGTAAGCCTGATCTTTATTAAAGCTGTTGCAACAGGGTGCTCCCCCACACGCAGGAGAGAGGAGGAGGACCCAGAGCCATGCGTGCAAGCCCTTAAATTGCCCACCCTGGAGTCCAAGAACAGCCCCAGAAACATCATACATACATAACAGAAAAGGCGGTCTACAACAGAAATCTGAGTGCCTTGTTTATCTCCCGTCTGGCAAGTTACCTGATTGCATTATCTGGGTTTTGGCCACTCTTTTGTTATTATAACTACTTAATTCCTGAATCTAGGCCACAGGCCACAGGCTCACACCCTGTTCATATCTTGAATGTGCCCTTAAGACAGGATTTGTGAGGAAAGAGACAATGGGGAGGTTTCCCACTTTGACCTTGCAGATAAATATTTGAGGTCAATTTGTTCAGGACTTTTTCTGTGGGGTTTCAGACATGTGGTTTATAAACAGAGTTCTGAACATTTATTTATTTTTTATATATGGCCTTAAAATTCTTATAACAGCGGTCCGTGTCAGACGGGGGAGGGGGCCTGTAGGCTGCCATGGGGGTCTACGTTGACTGCTGCACCTTGAGTGCTTTGTTTCTGGGCAGCAGGGGAGCTTGTGTACAGCACTGCATCTCCTAGGCTGTAGGGCTGCCCTCAAAAAGCTCAACAACACTTTCCCTAAAAGAACAGTCAGTTTTGGTCTGCTGGCGGAGGTTGCTGCGTGGCTGGAGAACCACATTGCAAAATCTGGAGAATTTATAGAAAGGTTTTTCTCCCTCTCATAATGCCCCCAAAAGCTGAATGCTTGGAGATTCGGGCCAGGCAAAAGGAAGTGCTTCTTCACACAGGGCATCATTAACCAGGAAACACCGGCCTGCGAGCGCTGCAGTTGGAGAACAGCCTTTCCCAAAGGTGTCATGGGCTTTGAGGACACTTGAACTCAAGATGAAAGGGATAAGCGTGCTAAGAGGAAGGCACGCTTGGCAAACCCTCACCGTGATCAACTCCTGCCTGGAAACCTAGGTCCATAGCTGTCAACCGTCCCTTATTTGGCAGGAAACTCCCTTATCCCAGCGCCGTTTCCTGCTGCTGTCCCGGATTGATGATGTCCCTTAAATTTCCCGGGTTTCAAAGGAAGCAGCTCCTCTCCCTCCCTGCCGGCCAGGGAGGAGGGAGGCTCCAGCTGTGTTGCTTGGCTGCGTTGCTCACCCAATAAGGAGTCTAAGAACGACTGGGGGGTGGAGCTTGCATGCCTTGTGCCGATCAAATCGGCCGCGTTGCCTGGGGACTCGCCTTTGCTCAGCGCTTCCCAGCGGAAAGGTGACGGTGGTTTTCCTTGCTGCATCCCCTTTGCCGGGTTGCTGCGCTGTGGGAACCACCGCTTGAGGCTTTGTTTGGCGGCTGGCTGGGCTTTCTGCCTTTGGCTCGGAGGGGCTCAGAAGTTGAACATACCTGTGCTCGGAATGGTTGGACAGTGTTCTCGAAGCTACAAACATGAGTCTGACCAAACTGCGGGAGGCAGTGGAAGACAGGAGTGCCTGGCGTGCTCTGGTCCATGGGGTCACGAAGAGTCGGACACGACTAAACGACTAAACAAAAATGCTGGGAATCGGATGGATACGTCATCGACGGCCCACTCACCCTTGCTGGGGAAAAGGTCTGTCTGGAGCATGGGCACATGGTGGGGGAAAAGGAAAGGAGCTGGTTGAGTACAATAGCAGACGGCAATCTCGTGGGAGGGGGGGCTTTTGGATTTGTTTTGGAGGCTCCTTCGATTGACTGTTATGGGGGAAAGGAAAGGAGCTGGTTGACTAAAATCCTTTATTTCGGCTGCTGATCCCTTATTTTCGAGGCTGCTGGTCCCTTTTTTTCAAATCTGCAAGTTGACAGCTATGCCTAGGTCCCCAGTGTGGAAGGACGTGTGGATCCAGAATTGGCCTCCATAGGCACTTACAGACTCGCCGTTAAAACCGTGTTTATGGAAGACAATCTTACTCAGCTACGAGTGATCGCCAAAGAAGAAGAAGAAGTGAAACTATGGAATTTGCTCCCACATGATAGACTCTGCCTTGGCTGGCTTTTAAAGAGAATGTAAGAACATAGGAAGCGTCTTCCGGATCAGGCCAATGGCCCACCTGGCCTAGCATCCTGTTCTCGCAAGACCAGCCAGATGCCTTTGGCAAACCTACAAGAGAATTGGGGGTTTGTTTTTTCAGTGACTCATCCAACCTTATTTGGGAACCTTATTTGCCTTGAGTGCCTTTTGGGAATCAGATGCCTGTGGCAAAAGTGGGCCAGGGGCAAAAATGTGAAAGTTACTTTCTACAGCAGTTAGTTTCTACATGTGATTATAACCCCCTCCATTATCCTCCTCCTAGGCAAGCCAAAGGCACTATCAGAGTTCCAGAGGACCATTTAACCTAGCAAAAGCACTCGCGGGGCCAGAAAAGGCTATAACTGGGCAGAGCGTGTGACTTGGGGAAAGGTCTTGAGGGTGGCCCTAATAATAATAATAATAATAACAACAACAACAACAACAACAACAACAACAATAACAACAATTATTATTATTATTATTATTATTATTATTATTATTATTATTATTATTATTATTTGTACCCTCCCCATCTGGCTGGCTTTCCTCAGCCACTCTGGGTGGCTTCCAACAAAGATTAAAAATACATCAAAATGTCACACATTAAAAACTTCCCTGAACAGGCCTGCCTTCAGATGTCTTCTAAATGTCAGGTAGTTGTTTATCTCTTTGACATCTGACGGGAGGGTGTTCCACAGGGCAGGCGCCACTACCGAGAAGGCCCTCTGCCTGGTTCCCTGTAGCTTTGCTTCTCGCAGTGAGGGAACCACCAGAAGGCCCTCGGCACTGGTCCTCAGCATCCGGGCAGAATGATGGGGGTGGAGACACTC